ATATCACTTTGCTGTCATCTCTAATATCAATATTAGTAGGAAATATCCATCCATTCTTATTTACTCAAATAATTCAAATGTTAAGCTTATAGCAAGGGTTTTTTCATTATTGGCATTAATGTTGATACAACTATTTCATAATTCTATTAAAATTCCCAGATGAAATGTGTCTGGGAAGTGGAGACAGAGGGTATGTGGTTGCACATACGCCCATGCTCTGTGGGGATGAGGAGTGGGAATGCTCTAAGAATAATGATTGACAAATTGTTTGGACCCTTCTCTTCACATCAGAGAGCTGATCCTCAAAATGGAGATTTTGGATAAGAATTGTGTTAAAATGTAAAATTTAAAATGACTATCCCCTGTGTGTTGCATATCCAGGAGTCACAACCAAATGAATATGCAGAAGAAATAAATTTGTACGTGTCAGAGTTTACTCTTAGAAGGAACTTGCATTAGTATAGCTATGAGTAAATAGATATAAATGAATAAATTCATTTGAAGCACTTGGGATATGACCTGATGCATAACAAATACCAATTTAAATATCATCATCATTATCAAACCAGTGAAAGTTGAAGGACCCCCAAAAGCTCAACAAAAAATCCTCTACTAGCTATACTAAGGTTCTACTAACTGATTTTGTTTAAAGATTTTATTTATTGATTTGGCAGAGAAAGAGAGAGAGAGAGAACACAAGCAGGAGGAATGGTAGGCAGAGGGAGAGGGAGAAGCAGGCTCTATGGAACTCCATCCCAGGACCCTGGAATCATTGAGCTGAGCTGAAGGCAGACGCTTAGCCAACTGAGCCACCCTGGTGGCCTCTACTAACTGAATTTTTTAAAAAATGAAGACTACAATCACAGGCCTCCATAAAACATGACATCCTGGAGGGAAAGCATAATCAGACCAAATCAAGCAACTCAGAATTTGGAGACAAATACCTCCTTTGAGTGTGAAATAACTAAAAAGCATCATTGGAAAAGATTAGTAATTCGTACAAAAAAGCTATCTCAAAAAGACCATCTGTCCTATATTCCTGGGATAATCTGGAAAATACTAGAATGTTAGTAGGTATAAGGGTGTAGAATTATGTAAGACCCTAAACGTCATGGTGAGAATTGGAAACTTATTTTCCCATCATAGCAACCAGAGTGTCCCTAAATAAAGTTGATAGTAAACGAAGAAACAAGCTAATCAACCATGTTGGCCTGTGACTGGCATAATGACGTAGCAGCAAAGGTCAACAGGAGAATAGAGCTCTGCATGAATGCTATGTGAATAGAAACTATGTAGACCTTCTCAGTGTCTGCCTACTTCTATGTACAGGGAAAATGTACAAATATAAAACACTCCATCACTCTTTCTGCAACCAAGGATTCTGGATTTTCTGGGACGACCCTATTGCAAATATGCTGATGTCAGAACTAATGAGAACATGTACAAGTTTTAGTTGAGAAAATTAGTTAGGAGCAAGGATAGTTAACATGTCAGACTTTTCTACATCCTAGATTAAATGTCCATTACAGTCATTTGATTCTCATTCCTCCAATTTACCAAGCAACCACTGAGTAATAACTTTCTTGCTGAGGAGATTCCCTAAACTGTGCAAGGATATTCTCCTGCTACTACATACAAGAGTTCCAGTCTCTGGAGAGCCACCTTATAAATCAGGCTCCTAACCTGGGTTTGGTTAACGAGTCCCTTAGAGCTGACTCACTTTGGGGTGAATCGTACACCTGAGTTTTGTAAGCCTTTGGGACTGAGCATCTGTCCACCTGTCCTTCACTTATTGCAAAGTGAGCCTTTGCTATGCCACCAACTCCCCCCACACCGAAGCCAAACTTCCAGTGTGGTTCAGCTATCTGCAAGCAAGTGCCTTCTCTGTGCTCTGAATGGGCACAAAAACACTGCCAGGAGCTAGAGTTCTGCTCTGAAAGTGCTATTTTGAAACTTGGGTTTGAGGGGCACTGGATTTCCAATATCCTTGCAGACTGCCAGGGACAAGCCCTAAAAAAGGTGTCAGCTCCCACACTCAGCTCCTTTCATGTCTCAGTAATAACAGTACCTGCCCTTGGGTAGTGCTTGAGCATTTCCAAAGTGTCTCACAGCATCTCATGTATCCCCCACCTCCATCCTCTGAAGCAGCTAAGGTCTGTGTGTGGTGATAAAGAAAGAGAAACTTAGAGAAGAAAGGGGTTTGTGCAAGACTCCCCCAAATCATGGGGCACCTGGGTGGCTCAGTGGGTTAAAGCCTCTGCCTTCAGCTCAGGTAATGATCCCAGGGTCCTGGGATCGAGCCCCGCATCGGGCTCTCTGCTCAGCAAGGGGCCTGCTTCCTCCTCTCTCTCTCTCTGCCTGCTTCTCTGCCTACTTGTGATCTCCATCTGTCAAATAAATAAATAAAATCTTAAAAAAAAAAAGACTTCCCCAAATCAGTAGAAAACCCGGGAGCAGTGGTGCCTGGGTGGCTCAGTGGGTTAAGCCTCTGCCTTCAGTTCAGGTCATGGTCTCAGCGTCAAGGTCTCAGGGTCCTGGGGTCAAGTCGCACATGGAGCTCTCTGCTCAGTGGGGAGCCTTCTTCCCCCGTCTCTCTCCGCCTGCCTCTCTGCCTACTTGTGATCTGTCAAATAAATAGACAAAATCTTTTTAAAAAATTAAAAAAGAAAGAAAGAAAACCCAGGAACAGAACACAGATCCTGAATGACTGATCTCCAGCTCCCTGAAGCATGCTGGGTTTTCTGGTTCTTTAATAACTCTGTGCTACCCTGTACACAAATTATTTAACCTCTAAAGAATAGTTTGTTCTCAAGGGTCTCTTTCCACCACCTGCTGACACTTGCAAATTCCATAAAACCCCCTGTTTTAATACAAGGCATTTTCATTTTCAGCAATAACCTGTCTGGAAAATCCCTAAAGCAAGGTGTTTCTCAGTCCGAGATCTATGACCCTGAGGGTTTGTCATTAGATTCTCAAGGGTTTGTGAGAAGTTTATGTGTGTGTATTTTGTCTTTATGGTCTTAAACAAACAGACCAATGCTGGATGACTAGCTCACGTCTGAGGACTGCCATAGGCTTTCATGACTCATACTTATCAGCATTTGGCAAACTACACAGCCTTCAGGCCAAATCCAATTGATCACCTGTTTTGTAAATAAAGTTTTATTGGGATGCAGCCATGCCCATTCATTTACTGTTGTTTTGGTTGTTTTCATGCTAAAATTGCAGAGTTGACCTGTTGCAACAGAGATAGTAAAGTCCTCAAAGCCTAAACTATTAACTATCTGTCCTTTGCAGAGGCTATTTGCAGATCTTTGAAACTTCTTTCGTTCTTGAAATCATATTGGAACCAAGTTGCAGAACTTTAATTATCTGGGCTTCCAAGAAACAACATATGATGGGCTCTGCTCAACAGAAAGCTACCTAAAGGGAACTCCTGGGTGGCTCAGGCTGTTAAGCATCTGCCTTGGACTCAGGTCATGATCCCAGGGTCCTGGGATTGAGCCCCATGTCCGGCTCCCTGCTCAGCAGGGAGCCTGTGTCTCCCTCTGCCTGGAGCTCCCCCGGCTTGTGTTCTCTCTCTCTCTCTCTCTCTCTCTGTGTGTGACAAATAAATAAAAGCTTTAAAAAAAAAAAAAAAAGGAAAGAATGCTGTATGAAGGCTATTGACAGTGCAGCGTGAATGAATGAAGCCTGCTGGCAGTTTGAATGGAGACAAGTGGTGGGAGAAAAAGCCATAACCTGACCCACAGTGGGACAGGTAGGACCAACTTCAAAGATTCTGGGCTTCTGGGGGCGCCTGGGTGGCTCAGTAGGTTAAAGCCTCTGCCTTCAGCTCAGGTCACGATTCCAGGGTCCTGGGATTGAGCCCCGCACAGGGCTCTCTGCTCAGCAGGGAGCTTGCCTCTCCCTCTCTCTCTGCCTGACTCTCTGCCTACTTGTTATCTCTCTCTTTGTCAAATAAATAAATAAAATCTTAAAAAAGAAAAAAAGAATCTGGGCTTCTGCTGTCAGTATCTTATTCTCTTAATGAGTAGTAATTTAATTTCAGCCAAACCATATCTTTTGTCCACTAAATTGTAATTTTTAATTTTATTGGTTTTATGATGTTTGATTTTTCTTTTGTAAATATAGATCATAAGAGCTATAAGTCTAATGATTAACCTGTGATTATAAAATTACTTAACATCTAATTTTAGGTTTCATACATATAAATAATGGTATACTAAAAAAAATAAATTGTCAACACTAAAGGTTCATGAACAATACTGAGTAGAACAGTACCCACACGGGCCAACACACACACAGATATATGTGTATATATATATATCTGGTATTTTAATTTCCTGTAAGAATAAAGGCATTGCCATTTTTTATTTTTTATTTTTAAAATGATTTCTAAAGATTTATTTATTTATTAGAGAGAGTGTGCGTGAGCCTGGGTTGGGGGTAGAAGGAGAAGGAGAGAGATTCCCAAGGGTACTCCCCACTGAGCACAGAGCCCAGATGCAGGGCTTGATCCCAGGACCCTGAGATCATGACCTGAGCAGAGATCAAGATTCAGACGCTTAACTGACTGAGCCACCCAGGGGTCCCAAGGCACTGTCATTTTTTAGAGGTTCCCCTCTTAGGAACAGAGTAAAGTTTGTCCTCAAGCGACACAGAAGGGGCCATGAGAGGTCCTGTGCTGTTACTCTATGCCCTCAAGTCCCACTCATTCACATTCTCTGTTCAAGCCAGGTGTTCCGACTTGGCCACAGCCGCCAAAGCCCTCAGATTCATCACACATTCCACATGGGCAATTTTTCTTAGAGGTAGCTTATCCCAAAAGGGCATCTGTGATGCGGCACAAAACTGGATAGCAGGACATCTAGCTTGTAATAATTAGGATTACTTCTCTCAGCAAAACTTTTTGGAAAGAGGTAATGACTACCTGATTACAAGAAATGCCATCTTCCCATTAAATAAACAAACCCTAATGTAAGAGAAGTTTAACTTACCTCTTGACACAGATGTGGAGATTAAGAAGAGAGCCAGTCGGTTGCTCATTTGATTAAAAAAAATCATGAGCTGATTTTATTATTTCCCAGAGAGGAAACTAGTGCTTTAAGCTCAGGCAAATGGAGTCTAGCCGTTTCCAAGGTAGCATAAGCCAAACAGGTGTAACCCGATCATTTGTTTTGACTCATAACTTCGATGAGAACTCTTGGGTCTCTGCTGTTTACAATATATGTTAAAAGAGAATCGAAACCGGAAAAACTAACACAAGGCCATTCACGTACACACAGTTCATTGAATATCTCTTTTTTTATAAAACCTTGTAATCATCTACACAAAGAAGCTGGAACAATGAGAGTGTTTCATCTCTTTAAACGATTTTCCAAGATTATTTATCAGAACGTATCTACCAAAGGCAATAGGCAAAAGAACAATTTAAGTCAATGTATCTTTGATGAACTTACTTTGACTTCATATCATATATGCTATTCCTAGAAATTCAGAAAGTGGGCGCCTGGGTGGCTCAGTGGGTTAAAGCCTCTGCCTTCCGCTCAGGTCAGGATCTCGGGGTCCTGGGATCTGGCCCTGCATCAGGCTCTCTGCTCAGCAGAGAGGAGCCTGCTTCCTCCTCTCTCTCTGACTGCCTCTCTGCCTACTTGTGATCTCTCTCTCTGTCTAATAAATAAATAAAATCTTAAAAAAAAAAAAAAAGAAATTCAGAAAGTAAGAAGACATAGTAAAAATCACTCTCACAAAACCAGGAAGCATCAATAATAGACATTTTGTATGTACATAACAGATGTGAAAGGGAGGGAGAGAGGGAGAAGCAGGGAGGGGGAGAAGAGAGAGAAAGTACTTTATCTTTTTATTCTTAGGTATGAAATCAGCTAAAATTAAAGATATGTGGAAATAGAAATGAAATCATTTTCCTCTTAGAATAAGAATAGCTTACAAATAGAATTTCAGAGTTGGAAATGAATTTGATGTCATGAAATTTAATGCCTTCATTTTAAAGATGAGAAAACAGAACCACAGAGAGCAGCCTGCCTCAGATCCCAGAGCCAGGAGAGTTTTTGTACTGAAACTCTTTCTGCCTGGAGCAGTTGGATTGAGGTAGTTGGTTTTGAGGGCAACCTTCAGGCAGGCCATACCGAATCCTTGAGCATTAATGATTCAGAGGATCCCAGCCTTCCAATAATATTAGCACTAACCCAAACAAAGGTAAGATTTAACAGTTTACTAGACAAAGGTTCCTGTCCTCAAGGATTTTGAAGCACCTTACACAGAAGCCAGAGGAGGGAGGAATTGCCAGGGGCAGGGGGCAATCAGAAAATGCTCTGTAGAAGAGGTAGGCATGGGTTGAATCTTTCTTTATGTAATGAGAGACAGGAACATGGGTGTGTTCTGGACAAAGTGTCTCTGTTGAGCCCTACACCTTCTCAGTCACACTCAAGGACTCTTGCTATGCTTTTGACAAAGATTGAATTCTTCCAACACCATTTTTCAGAAGAAAACAGGCATAATAAAAACTACAAAAAGAGTGCTGTATTATAGTAGAAATAACAGCATCTACAAGTCAGAAAGCTAAGGGTGGGGAGAAATAAGAGAAAGGCAGAACTAGAAAAAGAATGGGATGGATTCTGTAAACCTCATTATCCTCTCCTTCTTTAAGATTTGGATTTCGATAGCTCTGGCCCCTGTAAAATGTCAGCAAGAACAGAGTCTAGAGCAAAGGCTGGATATGCCAGAGCCTTCAAATGTCCAGTGTGTCCCTCTGGATGGACTACCTAAAGGTGGGGGCTCAGGAAGACTTATCTTGGTGATCACTCATTAAGAAAGGCCACAAAGTTGAGTCGAGTGCAGACACCATGTGAGGAGAACATGACCAAGGTTCTGAGAGTTAGTCACAGCTGGCTGCTGCAATGACAAAATAAACACTACTATACGCACAGATCACTGTGCTCTGAACTTAACCTTTATTGTGTCTCAGCATGTCTCTTCCAAGGAAGGGTGGGGGTCTTTTCTGCTCAGTTTAGACGCAGTTGGAGCCCCGTGTTTTGTTCTAGTCTGAGTAGGACCGGTCTAGAAGTCTGATTGGGGTGGAGAGGGTATCTCTAAACATGCATAAAAAGGTTTGGAGCAACTGGAGGTGCTTGGCCTGGATAGGCAAGGTCCAAGGGAGTTACTTATCAGAATATGATGCTAATTCTGTCAATTTCAATATTTATATATTTTGCAATAATAGAGATCCCATAGACTCTGAGTTCAGACAAACCAGGGTTGGAATCTTAAACCTATTTCCCACTCACTTTGTGGCTCTGCCTAAGATGCTTGAGTTCCCTGAGCCTCCATTTCCTCACCTGCAAAATAGAAAGGCATTCCCTACTTCAACATTCTTACGATAGTTAAATGAAATAATAACTGCTTGATAAACGGTAGCCACATTATCCTTGTCTACTGAAAGGAGCACTGACCGTGGATTGTAAAATTTCCTGTAAAAAAAAAAAGCGCACCAGAAATGAGAGACACACGCATGGACTTGATAAACTACAAAAGTTACTTTTTGTGTTGGGGGGAACTTGCCTGCACATCTCAGAGCAATTGCCTTTCAGTACCATTTGTGATCACAAGACACCTACGTGAAGGAAGAAGTTATTCTCAGTTATACCAGGAGCTTGTAGGAGATTTGTAGCATTTGGGACAACTCCAGGGACAGACTAAATATTCCTTAATAATGATTGATGTTTGTGATGTCCAGTGCTTTTGAGGTTTCATGTTCTGGTAAGAATGGTTTGAGGGGGGGCGCCTGGGTAGCTCAGTGGGTTAAAGCCTCTGCATTCAGCTCAGGGTCCTGGGGTGGAGCCCCGCATCGGGCTCTCTGCTCAGCGGGGAGCCTGCTTCCCTTCCTCTCTCTCTGCCTGCCTCTCTGCCTACTTGTGATCTCTGTCTGTCAAATAAATAAATAAAATCTTTTTTTTTTTTTTTTTTTTAAAAAGAGTGGTTTGAGGGGCTCTCTGCCTTCCACTGCTGTGTCTTCTGGTGCCATAAGTGATTCATTCCTCTTCTGACTGATGTAGGAAAGGATCAAAGGAAAATGTTTCATGGGTACAGAATACTTGAAGGATCCAGGAATGGTCCCATTTTAGCACCATTTCTATATCTAAAATGAGTTTTTAACATTTTTAGAGTGAAAATGTGAGCACTGTCTTCTTGATTTTAACCTCTCTTAAGTTAGCTCTTTCTGGACCCAGTGACACGATGAGCTTGCCCCGTATCACGGCTGGCTGCCAGCAGAACCATTGTCCTTGGGCCCCATCCAGATACCATGTCTCTTTCTGGGTCATTGAAAAGGCTCACATTATCAAAACAAGTACTTAAAGCATCAAATATTTTCTACCCAGTTTTCCATGTCCAAGAAATGTTTGCAATATTGTTGTGCCAAGAAAAAGAAACTCACGTATTATCTATCATGAGTGTAACCACGACTCTTTCAAAACTTGCAGGGCTCGAAGTTGATAAATGCATGGGCCTCTGGCTCTAGTTAATTCTTCTTGCTGTTAAGTCAAGAGATAAAAGGGCAGATTTTACTTATGAGCATTTTGTGCACCTTTACTTAAGAAAACCAGTGCACAGTATTGGAAAATATTTAGATTCAACTAATTTGTTCACAATATATATAACAGTTATTACACCTATGTGACAGATAAGTCTAAATTTTTTTCTCTCTTCCCTTACTATTTGAATCTGCTTTGAAAGAAATAGTATCAATGGTTTTTTGTGTATATAGATGTTATTGCAGATATTGGAGATTAAACAACACATTTTATCTGTTCTTCACCAACTTTTGCCAAATAAACAGTTCTTAATTTAATCACTTCCATGCCTTCTCCAAGAATATTATTTAATACTTAAATTAAATTTTATTTTCTTATTTATTTGACAGAGAGAGAGGTGGAGCAGCAGGTAGCAAGAGAAGGAGAAGCAGGTTCCCTGCTGAGCAGAGAGCCCAACATTGGGTTCCATTCCAGGACCTGAGCTGAAGGCAGGCTCTTAACTGACTGAGTCCCCAGGGGCCCCTTTAATAGTTAAATTCTAGCTGGAGACATAAATATAGACTTCAAAATCCCATTTTGTTTGGAAAATATATATAAATCTATAAAAGTAGCCTGGAGATTAATAATGTGAAACATACATTCATATATGAGTAAGGATCTCCTATACCAGAATAGTTGGAATGGATTGGACTCATCACAACTATAACTTCCTTATGTGCTTGGGAATTGTTGGCTCTGATTATCTAGCAATAATGTGAAATTATTGGGTAACAGTGTCCAACATATAATGGACCTTTGATAAATGCTACTGTAATTAATCTGAGATTCATGTTTAAAAAGGGATCACAATATGTTAAAAGTAGTAGCATTATTTCTTCAGGCTATTGGTTAGTCCAATGGGGCAGAAGGGCAAAAGTATTAATATTTGCACACATAATTAGAGAAGATGAAATAATTAGGTCAAATGCTTCCTCCAGTGCTTGACTACACTTGAAAAAAAATAAGAAGAAAGTACCTTAGACATCTCTTTTTGTAATTCAGATGAAAAGCGCACACTTCAAATCCCATTCAGGGCTTAAGGTCTATGGATTGCGTCACTATGTATGTTGCCATATCAGCTCAGCAGACAGTGTTCTCTAAACATGGACATAACATACCCATCTGTTCTTCTAAGCTTTAATGCCCAAGTATGCTTGTATTTTGCTTCTTATGGTGTAATAAGCAAGGCTAACTTTGCACACAGCCTTCATATGGTTGTACGTAGAACTAAGACAATGGCACCCAGAACCAACACTTTGAAGCCACAACCTGAAATCCAGACACTTCAACAACTTTAGCTTATTGGAAAAGTGGAGAAGTAAACCCAGTGTATATAAAGTCTTCCATCAGATTTGAGAGATAGAGGAAGGATTAAAGACTATTCCAGTAGGTTTGGGGGGGGTATGGGAAATAGAGGGACGCAAGGTTTTACTCACTCTAGTCTTGGGTAAGGACAATGTATTTCAGAATAGTTTCACCACTCTTTGTCATCTCAAAACTTTGAGAGTGAGAAGGAAGAGG